ACTGGCTGGGTTTTGTTCTTGTGGCCACTGACTGTGGTGCTGGTTCTAAGCTCTTGGATCGCTCCCAGACCCGCTTTGGGGACAGGCAGTCACACTTCTGACTTGCTGCTCTTCTACAGAGCTTTCTTTCCCTGGGAATAGGCCTGGAACGTGTCATAGCTGACTATCCTATTGTCGATAGCAACCCTCTAGATGTTTCAAGGGAGATGTATTTTCTCAGAAGTGGTTTGTTTTGGGGTGTTGGTTTTGGGGTTTTTTTTTTTCATGGGTTTAATGATGAAAGGATCTAGGAAGCTACAAGTTTCCAAAATTTGAAGTTGGGCTTTGTTTTTTAAAAAAAAAAAAAGAGAGAGGAGGGATTCTGGACTGGTCTATACTGGTCGTGGTCGCCTTGGTGGAGACCTTGTTTTGTGCTGTGTAAGACCTGGATTCTACCTTCTCCCACGTCCCTGCTGCCATCTGCCCTGCAGGAAATGATGCATCCAGGGTATGCTGGGAAATGCTGATGTAGTTGTGGTGGTTGTCTTTTGGAAATCACAATGAATAATCTATTAACCTTGAATAGGTGTCATGGTCTCTGGATCTTTAGAAAATTGTTTTTCTGGTGCATTAACAGCCAGATTAGTCTTGACACAGGAGTGGGAGGGAAACGAACTGTGCGGCACCGTGAGTCATAGTCGCCCCCTCAGAGACAGTACCTTTTCTGAGCAAATGTTTTGACCTCAGAGGACTTTGTGGTGGAATTGTCTGTCCTTGGCAGTAAGTCATAATTTCAGATCTTTTAGAATTTCTCTGTTGTGGATCCTTGTCAACCAAACAGTAACAAGAAATTTCCTTTTTGAGAGTCTCTTCAGATATTGTGTGTATACCTGGTATTGCCAACCAGCTGTCAGGTGAATGGATCAGATGTTTATGCTTAGCTGGAGAGAACAGAATAATTTTGTGGTAAACTGGGGTTATTTTCAAGACTAAACACTCGCCTGTCTTCTGGCAAGGAAAACCCCATAATTCTAAAATCACCGTGACCATCAAGTGTTCCACCAACCTGAAGAAACTCTGAGGAATACAGCTGATGCTGTGTAGCTTCCAATGAATTTCTCCCATCCAAATCGAGGAGTAACCATGGTCAGGCATTTATTTTCCAATGCATTTGACTGTATTTTCTTCTGGACAGGATTTTACATGTTTGTGCGCCCTCATCACAAAGAGCAGTTCAAGCAGGTGTGCAAAGATTTGACAGGGATGGTCTGTGGAGAGGGAGAGAAGCAATTGCAAGAGCAGCTGCGTGGTGAAGGGAGCCCTCTGAGTCTGGAGAGCTGCTGCGCTAAAGGAGGAAGCAGCCACGTACGAGGTTGGGACTGCACGTTTGTCTCGGGTTCAGAATCTTATTGTGATGGGCAGCGTCCAGCAGCATTAGCTGTGGGCTGGGGCCTCCCTGCCCCGGGTGGGTGAAGGAAGAGCAGAGCAATTGGCTATGTCCAAATCATGGTTTAAAAAAGCCTGTGAGATAAAAGGCAATGGGAGATGGAGAAAAGGGCAAGGAAACAAGAAGAAAATTGGTTACAGTGCTGTCTTCTTTGAACTGTGAAGTATGTTATGGGTGAAGGCAGAATTTTTGCACCCAGATGGGGTGGAGGTGGGAGTATGTCAACATCTGCAGTGTCTAGGAAGGATTTGCCTCAGACCTATTTCGGTGTCGAGGGTCCCTTTCAGTCATAACGTGTGTCAGTACCAGAGGCTGCTGTTATCCAGCAGTACGGCATAAAAACACCCACGTTGCTTTGTTCCTCTCGTACAACAAGAACTTACGAACCTACCGCTAATGGTGTTCTGCGGAGTCCGTGTGTTGGGTTCTGCGTTACACTGAGGTGTGTGCTGGGCTCTTTTATAACCAGATGCAGCCGCTTCGAGGGGTGAGGTGCCAGAGAAAACTCAGAGAAAGATTTCCTCCTTCTGCTTGAAAAAGCAAAACGCAAAAAGCCAGAAAAGCAAACTTGAATCGCCAGCGGCCGAAGTATCAGAAGAAGCGGACAACGTGAGAGTGCCCGTGGGCTCTGAAACTCTGCCTGTCTTCCCCGTAGAGATGGAACCGGAGTATGGTAGGTGTAGGTCAGGCTTTTGGATGCAAATTCTTTCCGATTCGGGAATAAAGATGTAAGTTAAAGAAATGAGAATTGTGCTGCTGATCTATTAAATGATGGCTGGTTCATGCCTGTATTTGCTCAGGTGCAGTAATGATATGATGTGGTTTGCTGGGTAGAATTTGTACTCTCTGCCACTTGCATGTGTTCTCTCAAAGTACTTCATTGTCTTTATCACAATGATGTAATAGTTTCCTGAGAACTTAAGGATTTTTCTCAACAACTTCCTTGTAAAGCAAGGATCTAATCTCAGTTTCTAAATGGGGATCTGAAGCACAGAGAGACCGAGTGAGGTCATGTAAAAAAATCAGGTAAAAGGGCCAGGTATTGAGGTCATGTAAAAGAAGGAACACGCCAGGGCCAGATATTGCATTGTTAAGGTATCCGTAGAGCTCGTGGTCTTTGTTTTCTGGAATGCACTGGAAACGTGTATGCATGAGAATTTCACAGGTGGTTACTGGATTTTAGTCACTTCCTCCCTTTCTTTCTCTCTCCCCCTCTCCCTGCCTGCCCCCCATTCTGTTCTAGGAAGATTCCAGTGCTGTGACTGCAAATCTGAGGAAGATGTGCCTTTGAAATGCCCAATATGTGACTTCACTTGCTGCAAGACATGCTGGGAGCAGTTCTTAAAGGTTGTCTTGTTCATTGGTTTCAGCTTTTCCTGAAACTGCTGCTGAATTTTGTGCTTTTCAGGAGAACCACATGAACAGCCCTGGAAATGGAATTCCTCTGTTTACAGAGAGAAACAACCAAATCCTGAAGGAAGATTCACTGCTTGTTTCATTATTTTCCATGTTCTGCGGTGTGGTTGGAGGCAGACCTTTGCCCTATGCTCTGGTTTTTGCACCTCCTGAGTTGCCTCCACGTGTTTTCCTCTCTAGAGCTATGCAGGCAACAAGCTGTGGAGTCAACTTGAAAAAATAATTGGGTTTTCTTTACATCTGAACCTTTAACTTGATTTTTTTTCTTGCTTAGTTTCATAACTTTTCCCATATAAAAACCTACTGTAAAGCGCTGTCATGAGATGGAGCAAATCAGGAACAGGTTGTCCAGGGAATGGTTGAGTCACCGTCCCTGGAGATATTCAAGATGTGTAGACGTGGCACTTAGGGACGTGGTTTAGTGATGGACTTGGCAGCGTTAGGTGAATGGCTGGACTCGATTATCTTAAGGGTCTTTTCCAACCTAAAGGATTCTATGACTCTATCCTGTCCTTTGGTTTTCTTGGCTGAGTAAATTGGTGGTTGAAGCTGTTTGGGTCAGAGGGTGTAGCTGATCCCAGAGTGCATGGGTTTGGTGGCGTCTTAGCCAGCGTTTGCTTCGCAGTCAGGTGTTCATACTCTGTGACACTGGGTATGGAAGCTGATGCAAGAGTCGAGTGGTCTCTAAACATTCGTGGGTGACGAAGGTGGCTGCTAAAAACGGAGCTCAGGAACCTAAAAAACAGTGCAGAAGGAGAAGAAACTTCAACCTGTGAAGCTATAAGCAAGTACAAAATCATCAGGCATTCCAAGTTCCAGGGGGAGGTCTTTTTCTTGGGAAGAAGACACGGAATTGTGTCAGCTAAGTGTAGAAAATAAGCAGTATACCACATCCAAATGAAACATAGCTGAGACGGATTTGGTCCAAGAGAGTATAGAATAGGGGTCCCTATAGAGTGATGTCCAGACTGATGTCCTCAGACACAGATCTCCTAGAGGGAATTCAGGATGGCTGTTCAACTCCCATTTCATCCTCAGTCTGCTATGCCACATTTCTTTTAAAACCCAAAAGCATTGGATTATAAGGCATATATGGCAGAAAGTAGAAGAAAGCCAAAGGAAAGCATCTGTTTGCTGCAGATGGGGCGGTCAAGCCAGTTGCCTTGGATGGGTGTCACCGCTGAGTATTCCCTTGTTCCTTTTGCCCAGGGTATAATGGGGATGAACATCTGACAGTCCGGGTAATGCACTTCAGAAAAGTCACGGCAGGGATTCTGCCGGCATGTGTTTACAATCTGCTGCTTGGGGCTTGACTCGATTAAGGAACAGAATGAGCTCCCTGGGGAGTGTTTTTGGTTAGGCAAGCATTTATTATCCCACAGGGAGATAACATAATCTCAGCCCATAAATTTCTATCTTCTGAACGTCGGGGGAAAAACTCTCTCCTTTTGCCAGTAAGATGTAACTTTTGATTGTTGCTTCATCAGCTTTGGAGTCCACAAAATGAGAACTGTTACACATCAAGCAATTGTCCTGCCCTGTTCCACGGGGTTTGGTCTTGAAATTGGTACTTCGGAGGCCTGGTTTTCTCATTAATCCCCAAGTTAATGAGCATTTTCATGGGTAAATCACAGGACTTGCTCAGCCTAAGTTTTATTTTATCGATCCTTTATCTGCTTGCACATCCCTTAGGCTGGGGATTAAGTCTGATCTACCAGATTAGGCTGTTTGGTTCTGGTACTCGACTTGCATCCAGAGGAAGGCAGCGAAGCTGGTGGCAGGGCTGGAAGGAGTGTCCTCTGGGTCTAGCTGGGAGACAGGAAGCTGAGGGGTGACCTCATGGGTCTCTGCAGCTTCCCGAGGGAGGTGCTGAGCTCTCCTCCCTGGAATCCAGTGGTGGGAGCATGGGAGCAGTTCAGAGCTCTATGGGGGGCAGCTCAGATATTAGGAAACGTTTATTTACCAAAAGGCTGGTCAGACACCAGAACAGGCTTCCTAGGGGGGTGGTTGGTGCTCCAATGTCCCCAGTAACATGCTTTACCTTTTGCTCAGCCCTGAAGTGGTCAGGCCACTGGACTAGATGATCCTTGTAGGTCCCTTCCAACTGGAAGTATCCTTTCTGTTCTATTCAGATACCCAATACAAAAGCACGTCTGGGGAAACGAGTCATTCCTCGTGGGTCATTTGTCACTCAGCAGTTCCATATTTGCCACCTACCTGAATAATCTTACCAGTTACAGTGAAACTCATCCCACGTTGTACCAGGTGATGGCAGGGGAAGGAAAATAGCTGTGTTTTTCTTAGCAGGGTGAATCACAGCTTTGCTTTGTGGTGGTGTACCACAGCCCTGTGAGGTAAATACACTCTTCAGAGTTTGTAAAGATCAGGAAAGGCAGATGTGAAACAAACAATCAGAACGTAATAGCAGATGTACTGAGTCAGAGGAGAGCTCCGTCCAACCCAGCATTCTGTTTCTGACAGCGGCCAAAAAAGGACGGCTGGGAAAGGATAACGCGGCAGACATGCGTGATGGTTCTTGCAGGTAATCCCTCAGCCCCGAAGCTATTTGCAGCACAAGAACTCCCCAAGTCAGAAGTTTGCTTCTGTGTATTAAACCGCCGATGGGTTTCCATCGCATCGTCCTTTGGACACAAACGGACTTGTCGGCCACGTCCTGCAGCAGGCACTCCCGCCGCTGAGCCAAACGTGTTTTTCGCTTTTTTCTGCTGTCGGTTTGGACCTATCCTTTGGACGCAAACGGACTTGTCGGCCGCGTCCTGCAGCAGGCACTCCCGTCGCTGAGCCAAACGTGTTTTTCACTTTTTTCTGCTGTCGGTTTGGACCTGCTTCTTCCTAGTTCATAGAATCATAGAATGGTTTGAGTTGGAAGGGACCTTAAAGATCATCTAGTTCCACCCCCCCTGCCATGGGCAGGGACACCTTCCACTAGGCCAGGTTGCTCCAAGCCTCATCCAGCCTGGCCTTGGACACTCCCAGGGATGGGACAGGGATAGTTCAGCTTAATGCCCTGCTTGCTTAAAAGGGGCAAAGAAAAGACTCTTCCAGTTCCCTAGAAAACACATTGTGGATACCTTGTCCTTTGGCAAAGGCAAGTTCACCTTTGGAGTCTTCCTACACGCATCTACAGTATGATCCATTCGCCTCCCCCATAGACGTCAACGTCCTTATTTCTAAAAATGAGCTTTTTCTTGCTCTGAGCAACAAACTGTTGGGTGTGGGGAGTGTAAGAAGCATCTTCTCACCAGCTGAGACCTTTTGCTGCACTGTCAAGCACCCCTCAAGGCTCAGCATGACTGACATTGGGTGGCCTTTGTTGTGGTGAACGTGACACTCCAGGGACGCTTTGCCTGTCCTTACCTTACGTCAACTGTTACAGGGGTGGGCGGTTCACGGCAACGTTTCCATGCGTAGGATACGATTCAAGTGTGGTTTGGGTCATGAAAAGTCAAATACCTTGTCGTTTGGGATATTACTTGAGGACTGATGGAGAAAGACCCTTCTCCCAGTGATGAGTCAAAGCTGTTCTCTGCTAGTCACGCAGATGAGAAGGAAGAACGGCTTGGCCGAGAGCACAGCATTGCCAACAGGAAGGTTATTCCACGTTTCTCTGAAACCAATCCCAGAGGAACCATCTCCCACTTCCACCCGCGTTCCTACCCATGAGCTGGTTTGTTGCACAGACAATTGCCTGCGGCGGTGGCCGGGGATGTCTGGGAGAGAGGTACCCGTACCAGCAGGAAATGAGCAACCGTGCTGTTGTGTCTGAGCTCTGAAATCCCATCAGATGGCAGCGGCTCTGTCACCAATGACAGGGCTGGGTTCGAAAACTCATCTTTTTCGCTTTGCCTAACCAGTTACTCACTACTGTTTCCTCAGCTTGAAAGCACTTGGGTGCATATTGTCCTACGAGGAAGTGACTAAGAGCCTGTCATTCAAAATGCCATGATTTGGTTTGTGATGTCTTTTCCAGTTTGTTATCTTATTGAAATAGCTTGGCCATGGGCAGAGGCGGTGAATAACTTGGGAACTGCCTGAAGTTTTGCTTTTGGAGCAGCCAGAATTCCCCGCAGCTGTGGGGGTATTAAAGGGATTAGTGCCGGTGCGTGTTGGCTGATTTTGGGGCCGTGGCAGTGCACGCTGCTTTGGGGTTTTGTTTTTGGCGCAGAGGTCTGTTGCTGCTTTTCAATGTTCAAATGCGTCGTTTATTCATGCTCTTTTGCAGAGATTCCAGAGACG